TCCCTGCATCAGTAAAGTACTTTCTGGCACGGTGGTTAAAAATCAATGATTTTTTTAAAAAAAATCAAATGGATTTAAATCATGATTTAAGCGACACTTTAATTTTTTTATTTATTTTTTTAAATTTTAATGAACAAAAAATCCAATTAAAAATTACATTGTGGTTTAAATCAATTTGATCTAAATCAAATCCAACCTGCTTTCTGGAGAGTATTTGAGCTCTGAAAAAAAAACTGGTGCTGGCTGGTGGGCAGCAGCACAGAATGTAAATATAGAGATGAGCAACAAAGGGATCAGTTTGTGTCACTACACTTGCTAAACAGGCTTTAGTGAGAGTGAGGATTACTGCATACAGGGACTGGAAAATTGGGGGAGATGAACAATGCACCACAGGCGAAAGTAACTAGGGTTGTCTTGGCTATTGGGTGCCTTCCAAATATTTGGAAACTCATCCTAGTAAATGTCAACCAAACATTAGGTCAAGATAAAAAGCATAACAACATTTTGCTTCCTGATTCTCTAACGTATACAGAATAACTCTATTCCAAAAAGCTGGAGAAGAAGATATAGCATCTCTCTATAAACCCTTTGTATTTATAACACAAACAACAGGGTTAGTATGGAAGAGCACTGCAGCAAAGACCATCGGTCCCTGTCTATTTTTTCTGTACCAATTCTTTTCTTTCTTTCTTTTTTCTCCAAACTTGTTTCACTTTCTAGCTCTGTTCAGGGAATTAAAAATCTCCAGAGCCGAGATCACACTGCGAAATATGCCCTGACATCCTTGAGCCTGCCTTAACATCTTTGTTACAGCAAAGTCTCCTTCAAACACCATTATGGCTACTACAAAAAAAAAATTCATTACTGGTGGCTTTGAAAAGTCTATTTCTCTTTATTCTTCTTTTTCTTCTTCTGATGAAGCCAAAGTAGGGGAATTAATGTATAAATAAATTCACAGTGCAATCCAATACAAGTCTAATCAAAAGTTAAGTCCCCCACTGAGTATCCATTGTGCATATAGGACTGCTGCCTTACTTAATGAGCAAATTAAACCAGGCATTCAGCCTTGACGAATTCTGTTCTGTCTATATTTCAGTTTAGACTCAGGAGATACTATTCGTAAACATCCCGCTGTACAGGATCACTGCATACATCAAAGAGCTGACACCAAATCTTCCTCAACTTTGTAAGGCGTATAAATAAAAAATCCTGAAACATTTTACATCTGCAAGTATTGGAAAACGGATGGAGGAAGAGGGAACCATTAATCAAGCAGTAAGTATATCATATGTGAAATTATATCAGAGAGAATATAATATTCAGATTCAAAATGGCTAAGCCTGGGTCACCTCACCACTTACTGGCCTACCTGTCTATCCAGTTGCCCCATCCCCTTTGCTCTATGCACTATGCAAGGTCACTGATCTACATGTTTCTGCAGCACTGTGAATATCAGAACATGATGGAGCTGTGCTAGCGTAAGTTAACTCTTTGTGCCACAAACATACATATATTCTAGTACTGGTTGACAATATTGATTTTGATTTTATGAACATTGGTAACACAAAGAATCTTATAAAAGTTTGATTTAGAATGATATCACCTATTCACATTTTTCCCAGTAAAGCGCAACATCTAATCTATAATCAAAAGTCATCAAGGGGAGGGGTGCAAAGGTGTATACAATGGTGCCCTGCTTGATGATTACCCCGATAGATGACGAAATCGCTTCACGATGAGGTTTTTGCAATCGCTGTTGCGATAGCAAAATGATGTTTCAATAGGGAAAATCCGTTGAAACCTTCACGACGATCGGTTCCCTGCTTCAGGAACCGATTTTTCACTTCCCGACAATCAAAAACAGCTGATCGTCGGGTTTTCAAAATAGGAAAAAATCAGTTTGCGATGATCGGTACTGATTTTCCAACAGCTGATCAGCGGTTCCAAAATGGCCGCCAGGTTAAAAAAAATGGCCGCCCGCTGTGTTTTCACCCGGATTCCTCGCTTACCGGGCAGCGAAAATGGCCGCCGTATGGAGGATTTTCGCTTAAAGGTGAGTTTTAAGCCCATAGGAACGCATTGAAGGGGTTTCAATGCATTCCTATGGGCTTTTTAAAACACCTTAGCGATGAAATCGCTTTGCAGCAATTTTTGCTGCACGGATTATTGTCGCTATGCGGGGCACCACTGTATATTCAGGATCACGTTTACAATTCAGACATCTGCTATGACCATGGTATTAAATCACAGTGAAGTGCTGCTCCTACTTGAATAAAGCATTGTCATTTCTTAGTACCTATGAACTAAAGTGTTCCAGATATGTTCTGTTCTGGAAGTGATGTAGTGATTTCTTCAACCTATATTCCAATTCTCAGCCCCCCGAGTCCTTAAAATAATGTCTGTACCTATCAAGCAACTTGACTGTACTTAAATATCCCATTAAAATCAGTAGCGGTAAGTCAGCAGGCATTTATCTTTGAGTTTAAACGTCTCACATGCCATGTAAAGGTGAAGCAGACACATAAAGCATTCGCTCCTAAAAGACATGATATATGGGTTGATTTTACCAAACCTGCTGCAAGACAACAATATCTATGCAGCCTTAGGTAAGAAGCCAAAACCTATCATTCTAAAGTCCTACTTCTTGTATGCGGGTTTTTGCCCCTAACTTTCATTATTAATGAACAAGTAATGATTATGAAATAATGATCAAATTAGATTATCATTTCCAAGGCTGAGTCTATTCCTGAATCCAATGAGATGCCTAGTACTCGTTCTGCCAATCTCTGAGGTTAACATTATGTTTACACAAAAGCTGATCATCTGATGGCATGACCTCTCCAGGCTGTCTTTCCTCAAAACTAAAAGACTCATTAAAAAAAGGACAGCAGCTGTCTCAATAGTCTCTCAAGGCAACTGATTGTCACTTCTCATCGCAAGATTTCTGTCGTGACTGTCTCCATGGCAAAGAGGTCATCTTGATCCAAACCACAGCAGAGTTTGGAAAACAGTTTGTTTTGGGGAGGGGGGAATTACAAATCATGAAATCCCGCAACTAGCATGAACAATGGCCATGGAGACAGCGCAATTCTTAAAAACATGTTGTTGTTTAGTTGTTAACTTGTGTCCAACTCTTCATGACCCCATGGACCAGAGCACGCCAGGCCCTCCTGTCTTCCACTGCCTCCCGGAGTTGGGTCAAAGTCACGTTGGTAGCTTCGGTGACACTGTCCAACCATCTTGTCCTCTGTTGTCCCCTTCTCCTCTTGCCGTCACACTTTCCCAACATCAGGGTCTTTTCCAGGGAGTCTTCTCTTCTCATGAGATGGCCAAAGTATTGGAGCCTCAGCTTCAGGAAAAACATAGGTTTTCTAAACTCCAGGACATAGACTCATCTTTTCCTTCACCTGATTGCCAAATGGTGCCCAACCTGCATGAAAGCAACAGCCTTCCCTATTACTTGTGACCAACAGTTGCTATTGAAAGATACCCCAATTTGGACTGTGTCAGAGACATTCAATTCCTTAGTCACAAACACCTAATCTTTGACCATGGCAAAAAGCATAAGACCCATGCAACTTGCACAGATTCGCTTAACAAGCAGAATTGATAGCTACAATGTCCAGATTACAAAAATTAAACCACCCAAATGAGACTGGCAATGGCACAACAAGGAAAGAAAACAGCTGAAAGATGAAAGACATCAGGACAATAGAAAGAATGTGGTTGTGGAAGCCTGGAAAGGAAGACAGACACGACAGGTGTGTGAGTTCTGTTCTGTACTCCATGTAATGCCTGGCAAATTTCATACAGTGGTGCCTCGCTTAATGACGATAATCCGTTCCAGGAAAATCGCTGTTAAGTCAAAACATCGTAAAGCAAAATTAAAAACCCGACTGAAACGCAATGAAACCCGTTCAATGCGTTCCAATGGGGTAAAAACTCACCGTCCAGCGAAGATCCTTCATACGGCAGCCATTTTCGCTGCCTATGTAGCGAGGAATCTGTCCATAAGCACAGCAGGGAGCCATTTTAAGCACCCAGTGGCCATTCTGAAAACCCAACAATCAGCTGTTTTTGATCATCGTAAAGCGAAAATCGGTTCCCAAAGCAGGGAACCGATCATCGCTAAGCGAAATCCCCCATTTAGACCATTGTTTTGTGATTGCAATTGCGATTGCAAAAAGATCGTCGTAAAGCGGATTCATCATAATACGGGGCAAACATTAAGCGAGGCACCACTGTACTTGCACCTGCAATTTTCTGAGGGCAGCATCTTGTTTTCTAGGAAGTTAAATTCTGTGAAAGCTTAACAGTTCTGCAACATGTGACAAAACGAATGCCTCAGGATCCAAGCAGCTCCATACAGCCAGCTTGGAAGCCTCAGGATGCACATTTCAATATGTAGCAGAGCACTCGCCTGGTGCATCAGTTACACTATCAGAGTAGGACTCAAGAGACAAAAGTCCAAACCTCAATCAGCCATGAAGTTCGCCAGGTCAATAATTTTCTCTCAGAATGACTCATCTGCCTTACAGAAGATAAAACAAAGACACAGAATCACATCCACTACCATGAGCTTTTTGCAGGAAATGTGGGATATCACGGTAGCAAGTAAACACATAACAAAATCTAACCACTCAAAAAGAGCCTCTGCTAGTCCATAAACCACGGTTATGTTCAGGGTGATGCACTGAGGGCTGGGCAACCAAGATGGAGCTCTCCGTGGAACTTACCGTATGAGGGTTGTCGTAGTAGACAGCAATGGAGTACAGCTTTGGAGAGATGCTGCAGCTCTCCATGAACAGCCTTCCAGAATCCCCATAAGGCCCCACCTGGAATTTATATGCCACAGTGATGTTGCTGATGGGGGGCAAGCCAGCACTCACAACCACTTCAGAGAAAAGTCCCGAATAAACAGCAAAGCCAAAGAGTGTCAGTAACAGAAGCACAACCAGTGCTGTAAACAATCCAATGAGCAGCCAGTCTGACATGGTTCCTGGTGTCTCAAATTGCAGGTGTCAACTAATGATAAAAAAAATAAAGCAAGAAAAATATTAGACAACAGTAACACAACATACTTTCTTCTGAAGTGACATGCAGGTTTAGGTTAGATCCTCACACCTGGCAAGTCTTTCACAAAAGCCTTTTAATGAACTCACTTAATTTTTTTAAAAGCAAATTCAGACATGGACCTTTAACAAATGAACTTCCTGTGAGAGAAAAATATCCCTTTCAGTCACTGTTTGCTCAGTTTGATGAAGAGTAAAAGCCAGCCTAGAGTCACTAACAAAGGCAAATGCAGCTCTAGAAAAACGATGTGCCCTTGAAAAATATCAGTTAATTTTGTAATAGCATTACAGTATCTTAGTGGGAAATTACATGCTGCCTGTAATTTATCTTTAATACAAGCAATCCTAAAATACAGTTCCTATACTCAAACTGCTAGGTTCCCAGTGAACTAAGCATTCATATTTTTAAAAGATATACTTCCTGTCCTCAAAAGAGTTTGAGCAGACATTCATAAATTCTATCATATCAGTGAAGTAGAAAATTAATTATAATTATTTGAAATGATCAAGATCTCCCTTGGCATATATATCCACTATCATGTAGTAGTTAACGTGGTTTACTGTACTCCAAACATCTACTAAGGTGTGTGCTGAATAACTAAGCAGATCTTTTAACCACATGAATCTCCAGTTCAGTAATGTCTAGCAAGGCTCATAGTGCTGGATGAGCCACCTGCTCCCATCTAAATGTTCTCAACAACTGAATGAATGAGATCGATTACTTCTAACTACATCTGCAGGCAGAGTAGGCTTGGGGTCTACATCTCAGCCTCCAAACAGTGGACTGAAATAATTATGTAGGACAAATGATGGGCACATGGGAAACATGCAAAAATACCCTGAAAAAGCCTGCAGCTAAGGTGTAGGATCTAAATCCATTTAAATAAATAAACAAATAAAATCATTTCTTGGCTGCTTTTCTCCTATAAAGAAGTCAAAGTGGCTCCCAACACACTACTCAATTAAAAACAATTAAATATAGAATGTTATAAAAATACTTAATAACATATAAAAACTTTTAAAAACATACTGAAAAATACTACACCTAAAATCACAGAAGAGTCCAGCTTAAATGCCCAATGTAATTTAAATGCCTGATTAAAACGAAATGTCTTTTAGCTGTCAAAAAGACAAGAGAGTACACAGCCTCCTTGTCCACAGCCTGGGAGCAGAAACAGAGAGGGTCTTCTCTCTTACATTCCCATCAAACCTACCCGAGAGGTCAGTGAAACTGAGAGAAGGGCTTCCCGTGAAGATCATAGGAGCGGAGAAAGCTCATAAGGGTCCTTCAGATAGCCTAGGCCCAAGCTGTAGAGGACTTTATGGGACATGAGCAGCACTCTTAACTGGGCCAGGAAACAGAACAGTAGCCAGAGAAGCTATTGTAACAAGGGAGTTGCATGCTCTCTGTAACTAGCCCCATTCAGCAGCATGGCCATAGCGTTTTGTACCATCTGAAGTTTCTAAACCATCCTCAACGGCAGCTTTACATAGAGCATATTACCAAGCGGGATGTAATTCAGACATGTGTCATCATAGCCAAATCAGACATCTCAAGGAATAGGTGCAGCTGGTGCACTAGTTTTAACTGTGCAAATGCAATCTGGGCCATTGCTGAGCATTAAACCTCAGAGATAAATCTAGGAGTACACCCAAACTGCAAGCCCGAGTATAAATAAATAAATAATTAAGAGTCCAAGTGGTATACTAATTCCTTTAAAACACATTTCCTACTTACCTGAAAGAACAGCAGAACAACTGTCTAGCAGTAGTTCATGGTCTCTTCCAAAGAACTCTGATCCAGGATTTCCTTCTATGAAACAGGAGAAATTAAGGTCTTATTGACATGTCCTATTTTTCTAAGTCCAAGTTCACTGTAACTGATCTGCACTGCCATCCCAGCATATCTATCTATCTATCTATCTATCTATCTATCTATCTATCTATCTATCTATCTATCTATCTATCTATCTATCTATCTATCTATCTATCTATCTATCTATCTATCTATCTATCTATCTATCTATCTCTCTGTCTGTCTGTCTATCTATCTGTCTGTCTGTCTGTCTGTCTGTGTATTTTGATTTATACCCCACCCATCTGTCCTATAAGACCACTCTAGGTGGCTTCCAATATAATGAAAACAATAAAATAATACAGAAATTACATAGATCATACTGACACCCGTGCGAGTCAGGAGGTGAGGCTGAGGAGCCTGACGCCGAGAGAGGCCTGGAAGGAGAAGACACGAAACCGGGCCTTCTCGGCAGTGGCTCCTCCCCTCTGGAATAACCTCCCTCCGGTGATTTGCGCGGCCCTTACGCTGGGTACTTTTAAAACCCAATTAAAAACTTGGCACTACACCCAGGCCTTCCCTCCAGCTAATACTTGATTTTCTGTTTATTCTCCCTTTACTTATTTTCTCCTCTATCTTTGTATTGTATTTGTCATTGATTGATTGATTATTTGATTTGATTTGTATCCCGCCTATCTGGGCCACCAGCCCACTCTAGGCAGCTTCCAACACAAAATAAAACAATAAAACGCAAAATGTACATAATCATTCAATAACAGTTATAATAAATAAAATAGAAAAGGGTTAAAAGAAAAGTCAGGAATTAGCTGGAGGGAAGGCCTGAATGTACGACCATGTTTTTAATTGAGTTTTAAAAGTGCCCAGAGTGGGGGCCGCGCAAATCTCAGGAGGGAGATTATTTATTTATACTTTGACATTTGTACATCATGCCATAACTGAGCTCTCTGGGAAGCTTACAGTAAACAAACATAAAAGCGATATAAATACAAAACACAACATACAACTATTTTACGGGCTGGAGTGATTCACCAGCAAGACAGAAGGCTTGCTTTGAGGGAAATCATTCCCATTAAAACAACCCCTTCCTTTGCAATCAACTCCTGTCTTTGCAGCCACCTGATTGTACCCTTGCTTATAAAGACCCCTTGGTGCCCTTTCGGAAATGTAGAAGGAATGTTGTCATGTTGGTACACACAGCACCTGGGCAACCCAATACTCATATTTTAATGTTTTATTTTGCTTTTAATTTGCTACCAGAAGGCAAAAGGGTGCCTTTTTAGTTTTTAAAAAATTCTTAAGAAAAGTATTTGGTGGCAGTGGGGCACAGGACTAAGTATGTCCCTCCCAGGTCCACAGGCTGGTATGTGCAGTCCCTGCAATTCTGGACAATGCCCACCTCTCTTTAAAAGAAGTGCGTGCCCTTTTAGAAAAGTCTTAATGTAAGTGACACTGTGTTCAGATTTCTGAGTAGTTCACAAAGCCCTTCTTTCCTTGTCAATTTCACTTGATGAACTTGACAGGGGGGGGGGAATCAGTAGGTGGCTATTTAACCCTTTTCTTGCCCACTAATTCTCTCCCACATATCACTTACAGTGATAATTTTTAAACACTTTGGTCCCATCTAAGGCTTCCGTTGGGTTATCATACTGGTTCCTCCTTTCTAGACATCAAACATCCCCAGACTTGCTTGGCTTCATCAGAGTTCCCGTCTCGCACTCTCCAACCCTAAATTATTCATAGCCATTTTGGCCCCATGAATTTACCGAGAACTAGAGAACTGTAGTGTAATTCAGGTTATTCAAGCTATTCAAACAAAATTAGAATAAAGACAAAATGGCAGTTATTTAAGCTGAATTTTAAATCCCACCATACCATCATACCTTTGTCATGCCAAAAATTAATGATAAAAAAATTAAATCACAATTTATTTTTAATGATTTTTTAATTTAAATTGTAAAAAAAAAACCACCCATTTTTAAAAATTTAAATCATGATTTAAATCAAATCCTCTCTCTGTCAAACTACTAATAAGTTTAACAACCCTGAGAACAACTCCTGTTGTTCTCAGTTTAGGTTCATGGCAAAAGATTACAATCCTTCATATTTTTATTCTGAAACCTGGAATACGAGGGGGGGGGGTGAAGGGACCAGGAGCACTGCAAATATTTTCCCCAGACACAGACATGATTCACACAAACAGGAAAGAAGAATTTTGTTCTAAAGCACTGCAACAAAGTTCCTAGAACTTGTTTTGCCTGCTTATCAGCCTTCAACCTACAAGGAGGGAGTAGGGTGTCAATTTTGTTGCTGTCCTTGACTACTGAAAGTAAATTCTACTTCAAAAGCACATCCATCCCTCTTTCTTCAGAAAGCTGTAGCTCCCTTCATCTGATCCTGTTTGTTTGGGCTGTATTTTACTTCCTGGTTCATGTGTACCAGCTTGATGAGATCACAGTCCTTGTGCATAGCTCATGAAGCCAGTGTGCAATTTTGCTAACCTTCCTTAAAGAACCAGGGATGCTTTTACCAAAACCTTTGAAGCACATTTTCTTTCAAAGAAACTCTGTCCTCATAGTGCTACAGAGGAGAGGTGACCAAAAGACCGACTATTTGTCAGAGAGTCTGGAAGAGGGGCCTTTTGTTCCTTTTATACGGATTTGGTTCCACTCACAAGAACCATAATCCCCTGTTAGTGATACAACTCTGGTGCTAATTGTCATGATACAAACAGACTGCTACATCTGCGGGTAAAAACTAAACAAAAGTAGAACAGACCCTTGAGACTAAGTCCCTGGTGTGATCAAAACAGCAGTACTGTTTAAAAACCAAATAATTAGTACTCGCTTACCCGGTTTTCCTAGCCAGCACAAACAGGGATTTTCCATTCAAATGACACCTGTGACAGCCAGTGCTGACTATAGACTCCCAAAGCTGTGAACTACTAACAACAGGAACACTGGAAGGGGGTTACTGAAATTATGTTAAATCAGCTGCTTTCTCTCTGCACCTCCCTGAGTTTCAAGCACACTGAAAATACTGCAGCATTTTACTAGTCTCTTAAGATTGCATTTCTTTATAGAAGTGAATGAAAATATGTCTTTTGAGATAAAATTAATATTTTGAGTGCACATGCCTCCAGAGGAAAAACCTCCAGAACAAGATGCAACAAACTCAGAATCCACAAATCATTAAAAATAAATACACTGAGGAAATGCTCAGTTTTAGTAATGATGCAGAGGAAATCCAAATAGCTGGGGCTGGTAACACTGGCACACTGAGACTGCAGTACTGCTCACACTTACCTTGATACAGGCCCTGAGCTATAGCATGGGACCTACTTCAGTGTAAATATACTTAGGATTGCCCTGCATGGCTGTAATGTACAATGTGACATGTACGTCTTTTAACTTGCAAAAGTTGAACTAAAGAGATGCATGAATGAAAGCTGAAGATTAATATAGTAGTGAGTAACTGGGGATATTAATTTAACTGCTGTGTGACAAGCATAACATCAGTAGCAAAACCTTTAGCTAGTACAGTATAAAGATTTGGCGACAGTTTAAAAATATTTTTCTTCTCACATAGCTAGCTGCTGAAAGCAGAGTAGTGTACTGTAAACTGTCACTGTTACAGGCACTGTAGTGGCATATGGCACAAATGTGTCCTTAAATAAAGAAATGGGATTCACTCAGTTCATTGGGAAATGCAAAAATGGAAAACCCATGCAAAAAAATCTAATATTCTTTGAGCTGAATTTAAAAAAAAACATTGGAATCTGCTTAGAGCAAGACATATTACTATTGGAGCTGGTCTCAATAAAAATATATGAGTCCTTCCCTCTGTAGTAGTTTTAAAAAGTAGGATTTCCATGTATTCTCTTACTGGGAGGGAGCCAATGAAGAACTCTTTCCAGTTACCACTCTGACCCATCATATCTTGATGGTTACCCTGAGTTGTTGCTTATTCACATATATTTAACCACCCCTATTTTTTTTTGGCCTCTTCCTCATAATATAGTAATTTAAATATTTTATTTTTCTGTTCAGAAGCACAAGGGGGAGACCAGGAGTTAATCACGTTTCCAGTGGGAACCACACAACACCATCTCCTCCACGGAGATGAGCTCGGTACGACTCTCTTCTCCTTAGATCCTCCACGGTGCCACTTCCCCTCTTTTTCCCCATCCATCTGCCTCAGAAACCCACGAAGGGGCTGATCTCCCGCCACGAATCCACTGGGTCAGGTCTTCCCCCCCCATCTCTTCCTCCGCAAAGATCCCTTCTTCCCCTTTCCCACCACCACCAGATCACCCTCACGATCTCCCGAGCAGGGTTGGCTTATAATGCTCCAGCTTGGCCAACCCCACTCCTTCTGCCCAACAACGATCCACCGCCATTCAGCACTCCGCCCTAACAGAACCCAGATCCCTTCAGGATCACCTCAGATTTCTGGCCTTTCACACTTCTCCTGCAAGAGATCTCTCCCCACCCTCCCACCCCCCACTCCGCTTCGCAGGATCCGGTGGATGAGATCCCCTCACTGCCTCCTCTATCCCCGGCTTTGACGGGAGGATCGCTCCATTGCCCGGGCAGTTCCCCCTTTCCGCCCCCAACTCACCCCCCTACAGCTGTGGGAGCAGAGCCGGCTCGGCACGGAAGGGGCAGCTCCCGGCTCAGCAGTCACGGGCTTGGAATCTACGCTCGGGGACGCGCCTCTCTGCTCTGCCGTTGCTACTGCGCGTCACCCTGCGCGGGAGCGCGCCACGGCGGGCTGAGCCCCCGCGGGATGGGGTGGAGCGCGACGTAGGGGGGGAAAGAGGAGGCCGCTTCAGTCAGGGCGTCGGTGGCGCGGAGGCTGTTCCCCACCAGCCGGCAGCGGGAGCCGCTTCTGTGAGGGCGGCTGGCCCGGGGAATGCTGGCCCGCGGTGCTCTTGCCCGGCCTCGTCGCAGGGCCCGCGGGACGGGGAAGAAGCGGCGGAGAGAGGCATTCGCCCTTCAGGCGTTGGTCAGCCTGACATGACGCTGAAGGGGCCGCTTCCGCCGCTTTGGCGAAGGCGGCCGCTTTTTAGTGCAGTAACATAGACAGAACAGCCTGGGAGAAATAATGGGCCTCAGAAAGGTGGCCATACCGTGTCTTGTCTGTTTTATTTACAGTATATACCATCCTTCTCCGTATACCAAAAAGAGCCCCTTCTTGTGTCGCTGAGCGTCAGGAGGTAGGCAGGCAGATATTTAACAGGTAAAACCTTCTCCTGGTCTTTTGCCTCCTCATCTCTTCAGTCCCTGGCAAGCAAATTTTTCTTCAAGCTGAAATAAACCCAGTCGCTTGAGTTCTGTCACAGAATGGCCCTATCCATAGCTTTGGATCTGACCGGGTAGGGCTCAGTCCCTTCTTGAAAGCACTTAGTAGTTAGAAGACAAGGCATCCATCTTGGCAAAAACAACGACAATAATAATTAACATTTGTTCCAGAAGATAAATGGAAAGGTTAGGCCCATAAATTTAATAAATACATACATAAATAGTTGTGGGTTTTTCGGGCTTCTTGGCCGTGTTCTGAAGGTGGTTCTTCCTAACGTTTTGCCAGTCTCTGTGGCCGGCATCTTCAGAGGACAGCAAACGAGGACAGCAAACTGAAGATGCCGGCCACAGAGACTGGCGAAACGTTAGGAAGAACCACCTTCAGAACACGGCCAAGAAGCCCGAAAAACCCACAACAACCATTAGATCCCGGCCGTGAAAGCCTTCGCGAATACATACATAAATAGTCCCTACTACCCAGAGTCAGGGTCAAAAATGACGGGAATGCATGCAGCTGAACATTCAAGGTTCAGAAACCTAGTCTGTGTCCAATGGTCTGAGTTACAGATTTAATGGATAAAGGTCGTTTTTGCTGTTATTATTGTAGTAGAGAGTTCAGAAAACTATTTCTCAGTCCTAGGCATGGTTACCAAGAAATTAAGATTCAAAAGAGTTCAGCAGGACTTATTTCCAAGTGCAGAAGATGCAGAGTTGCAAGATTACTAGCTTTCAATGTAAGGCTGCTGTGCAATTCACTGTTTTAATGGTTGAATTTTAACTAGAAATGTATTTAATAACATGTGCATGTATTTAACATGTGCAGTGCCTTGCCATTAAAGGGTAAATTTGCAAGGCAAATTAAAACTGTGTAGTTCAGGACAATACACAATATTGCCAAAGTTACTGTGCTTTCTCTACTATTTTTGTCAACCAAAATGAATCTATTCTACAGGGAAGAAAATCAGAGGATTTTTTGTGTGCTGTATTTGATAGTTAGAAATATGATATGTCTTTCTCCTAGTCATCCAGATATAGCAAAATCTGTCAGCCAGTCCTCAACGAATGCTGAACTTGAAGATTTCCAAATGAACAGTTTCTCTTGCCTTGTTCTGGCATTTTAGGTTTATATGTTTATTATTGCCACTATTCAAATCTTGGCATTTACACTTCTTGCCACATAAAAGTACAGTAGTACTTTGTCATCAGGATTTCCTCTACTATTGCACGTTATGTGGAGCACAGCATTATGTGTCTGGTGATAAACTGCACCTAGTGTAAATTGCAGGGTTTCTTGAAGTGCCCTCCCTGCTTAGTCTCAGAAGCTACTTCATGAAAACCCATAACTTCTGACTGCCCCTATTGAATGCCCAGAGGAAATATTACCACGACATACTCATGTTATGGCTTTAGCTGAAATATACATTATTTCAGCTGTATAAAATAAAAGATGGAAGCAGTATACAAAAGAGATGCAAATATAATGGATTAATTTAAATGTGAATCCTGTGATGAAGACTCTGCCGTGTTTGTTTATTTATTTAAAATATTTTACCGTCTTTCTCCTTAAAAAGTGCCCAAGATAGGTTACATCATTAAAAAGACAATATTTAAAAGCTAAAAATAGTGAGTATGCAAATATTTAAAAATATTTAAACAAATATATTAAATAAACTCAATACTAGAAACATTTAAAAGCAACAAGGCACAACAGTCCATTCAAAAAAAAGTCTGAGGACACAGTTACACTATGACAATGTAAGAAGCTGAAATGGTGTATTTGAAATCAATTTAAAGTCACATGGTAGTCACATGGTTTTGGAGTTCTATTCAAACTAGTTTTGCATTTGCAAAATTGTCAACAGCCACTCTTCCCTTTTCCCTCAGCATTTGTGTGATTATGAAAGCATACATAGCAGCCCTTGGTTGGAGCAGGTGGGAGGCATCATGCCAAAGGAGGTGAGCAAGTAAAGGAGTCTCCAGGGACTCTTGCTATAGGTCCTGCTGCTGTTGCTTCTCCTGTTTTTGTCTGCTGCTATGCTTTCAGTTATTTTTCATAATTTGCTTTTTATGCGTTTTAAAGTGGAATAGTGCTAGATTCTAAAGGTACAATACACCACAAGCAAGGCAGCTTTCAGCAGTTTCCAGCGCTTAAGCAATACAGTGATAAAATAGAAACAGGGAAAAATGTAAGAGTTCAGCCTGCAGGATATCTGACAGAGGCTTTCACATATGCCAGAATGGTTTAAAATAAATCATAACTGAGTTAAAATAAACAAGGCTGTGTAAAATAACTTGCTTTCCCACTTTAAAAAAATTACGCTTAGCTGTACATCATGTAGAGGAGGGTGCCTTTTTATGTGTAACCACACCTTCAGATAGCCACTCACTAATTTATTCATTCATTCATTCATTCATTCGCAGTCCTTTGTTGACCGTAACATTTGTTGTATTTTTGTGGTGGGCTTGAATACTGTTTTTAGGTTGTGTTTTTCCAGAAATTTCCCCATGCGGTCTGTGACCCCTTTGATGTATGGCAGAAATACTTTGTTTGTGGGTGGCTATTTTTCTTCTTCAGTTCCATGTTCTTTTCTTGGTTTGATGGCTCTTGTGATTTCATTTTTGGAGTAGCCATTTGCCTGTAGGGCCCAATTCAGGTGGTCGAGTTCAGTGTTGAGAAACTGAGCTTCACAGTTCCGATTTGCACGGTCTACCAGGGCCTTTATGTCTTCTGAGAATATCTGCTGGATGAGTATCAGGGTGTCAAGGAAAAGCCTCTCTGAAAAAAAAGGTCTTTGCTTGTGGAAGGACAGCAAAGGTGGGGCCAGCCTGGCCTCCTTTGGCAGAGTTTTCCAGAGTCTGGGAGCAGCGACAGAGGACCTCTCCTGTATCCACACCAAATGCACCTGTGAGGGTGGTGGGACCAAGAGAAAGACCTTCCGTGTTGATCTTAATACCAGAGCAGGCTCATAAAAGGAGACATGGTCCTTGAGGCAAATTAGACCCAAGTCATTTAGAACTTTGTAGATTAAAACCAGCCCTTTGAACGATGCCCAGAAACAGATCACCAACCAGTGGAGCAGCTGTAACAGGAGGTAATGTGACACCTGTAACCAGCCCCAGTTAACAATGTAGCTGCAGTGTTTTGGACCCACTAAAGTTTCCAAATACCTTCCAAAGGTAGTGCCACATAGAGTTGTGAGGGTTCGATGTTTAAGGGGTCAGCCACTTCAAATAAGGAGCGAGACGGATTTAACAATTCAACAGGTTCAGTATTTATTTGAACACCAACATTAACTGGAACTTCGTGTGAAACAGTTTGTGACCTTTCTTGCAAGTCCAAACCGGGTCGCAAGGGCCTCATATACCCCCCACCCACCCAAGAGTGCCACTCGCTCTTCTTCACTGCGCGCCTACGGTCCCTGCCAAGAAAAATAATCAACATTAGCATGTTCTAACCCCTTCCAGTATTGAATAGTAAAAGAGAAAGGTTGTAAGGCGAGGTACCACCGAGTTAATCTGGGGTTGGTCTCTTTCATGCGGTTGAGCCACTGCAGGGGTGCCTGGTCTGTAATCAGGGTGAAGGGGGCTCCTTGCAAGTAATACCTAAGGCTGTGGGTGGTCCATTTGATTGCCAAGGCCTCCTTCTCAATTACTGCATACTTTTCTTCATGGGGTTTGAGCTTACGACTCAGATATAGAATAGGATACTCTACCCCTTGTCTCTTTTGGGATAATACTGCCCCTAAACCCCTATCCGATGCATCAGTAAACAGGATGAAGGGTAATTTGAAATCTGGGGAAAATCTGATGGGAAGATCACATATAATTTCCTTAAGGTTTTCAAAAGCTAATGGTTGTTGTGGGTTTTTTGAGCTTCTTGGCCGTGTTCTGAAGGTGGTTTTTCCTAACGTTTTGCCAGTCTCTGTGGCCGGCATCTTCAGAGGACAGCAAACTGTGCTCTTGTGTAGTTTGGCTAGGGCGTGGAG